GGAGCTGGCACAGGCACTGTGTCCAGAGTCTACCCCTTTAAGGGCTCCGGAGAGGGGGGAGGGAGAGGAGTTTTCTTGGTTGTGGCCAGAGTGGCCACCAGGGCACCCTGGGAAGGGCTGGAGGCCCCCTATTTCGAAATAAGCGTCTACGCAATGCTTATTTCGAAATAGCAGTTTCGAAATTGGTGTTATTCCTCGTGTAATGAGGTTTACCAATTTCAAAATAAGCCTTGCGCTATTTCAATTTAATTTCAAAATAGCGGTTTGGCTGTGTAGACACTGGTAAAGTTATTTTGAAATAATGGCTGTTATTTCAAAATAGCTTTGTTGTGTAGACATACCCAATGAGATCATGTTGTTCAATAAAAAAACCAGGGGAGATATGAATGGTCCATGTGCATGATCTTTGATCTTTAACATACTGATGTCAAACTCGGCATATGGAGACACAACAAAAAAGAGAAACATAAAATAAATATTTGAATTATTGTGCGTACTATTGCCTTTCTTTCAAAAAGTTTATTGACATATTTACCTCTTTGTACAATGTCACATAGCCAATTTGCTGTTCATATTTAAGTGCTCACCTGAGTATAATCTTTAGATAAAGACTTTAGTTCATGCTAATATATTATCAAAAATATCTTTTAAATATTTCTATGTAAGCTTTACCTGTTAAAAGGCTAAATTTGCTAGAAAATAACTACTTTAGCTTATTTGATACAGGTATTAAAACATTGTTGTGAAGGTTTTTTTTAAAGCAAAGCCATATATAAATGCAGGATAGCATTATGGGACTAAAGGCATGAGAGGGCCCCTTTAGACAATATGGTATTTTTTGGTTTTTGGAAGTAGTACCTGCGTCAGAAACAAATAAGATAACTTCCTCCCACCTCCATGGTTATTGTCTTTGTTCCTATTTGTCATTTCCTGGATCTAACCCCTGTGCACCAGTCAGTGTAATAGGAAATTACAAGAACATTCTGTGTCATTTTAGGTCCTCCAATCATTGAGTTGTTCTTGATGCAGGGCCTGAGGATGGGGAGGGAAAGGACTGGCAGAGGCTGCTAAAGCTCCCAATGAATTGGAACATTCTCAGTACTACTCTGACTGTGCATGCAACGGGCCCAAAGAAGCTATATGCTACCAAGGAATGACTGGACATGTCACCAACATGCCCGCTACACTGTGGTAGGTGGGGAGCGGAGATGGCCCATAGCCAGCCATGCAACCTTACCCATTCCAAGCATGAATTTCTCCATGTCAGAGGAATGAATCCTCATCTGCCTGGCTAGGAGATTTGCAGCTCCTTTGTGCTGCCTGAGGACTGCAGATGGGATGTTGCGTGTATCACAGTATGGGCCACTGTCTCTAAGGTCTTTCAAAGGACACATTTTGAAATTATCTCTAAAACTGCCCTAAAAAACCTTTCAATTTTAGAGACCCCACTGAAAAATATATGTGTAATAGCCAAAGAAAACAAGTAGCCCAAGAATTTCACTTGACTGTGTAGGAATTAGATGCTTATCTTTAGCTTATGAAAATTCAAAGCGTCTATACTGCGTGGTATCCTATGTGCATCCACGAGTAAGATATGTAACACAGATCCTTAGTTAGTATAAACTGGACATTACTGACTTTACTGGAGCTATATTAATTTGTACCTGGGGGACGACCTGATCCATACATATTTCAATATGCGGTCTACATTATGATTCTTTGTTAGAAACCAATCAGCAGTGTTCATCAAAATAATCCATGTTTTTAAGTAAGGTAACACATTTCATAGAATCATAGAATCATAGGACTGGAAGGGACCTTGAGAGGTCATCGAGTCCAGCCCCCCGCCCTCAAGGCAGGACCAAGCTCCGTCTACACCATCCCTGACAGATGTCTATCTAACCTGTTCTTAAATATCTCCAGAGAGGGAGATTCCACCACCTCCCTTGGCAATTTATTCCAATATTTGACCACCCTGACAGTTAGGAATTTTTTCCTAATGTCCAATCTAAACCTCCCCTGCTGCACTTTAAGCCCATTACTCCTTGTCCTGTCCTCAGAAACCAAGAGGAACAAATTTTCTCCTTCCTCCTTGTGACACCCTTTTAGATATTTGAAAACCGCTATCATGTCCCCCCTTAATCTTCTTTTTTCCAAACTAAACAAGCCCAGTTCATGAAGCCTGGCTTCATAGGTCATGTTCTCTAGACCTTTAATCATTCTTGTTGCTCTTCTCTGTACCCTTTCCAATTTCTCCACATCTTTCTTGAAATGTGGCGTCCAGAACTGGACACAGTACTCCAGCTGAGGCCTAACTAGTGCAGAGTAGAGCGGCAGAATGACTTCACGAGTTTTGCTTACAACACACCTGTTGATACAACCTAGAATCATATTTGCTTTTTTTGCAACAGCATCACACTGTTGACTCATATTCAACTTGTGGTCCACTATGACCCCTAGATCCCTTTCCGCCATGCTCCTTCCTAGACAGTCGCTTCCCATCTTGTATGTATGGAACTGATTGTTCCTTCCTAAGTGGAGCACTTTGCATTTCTCTTTATTAAACCTCATCCTGTTTACCTCTGACCATTTCTCTAACTTGCTAAGGTCGTTTTGAATTATGTCCCTATCCTCCAAAGAAGTTGCAATCCCACCCAGTTTGGTATCATCTGCAAACTTAATAAGCGTACTCTCTATCCCAATATCTACATCATTGATGAAGATATTGAACAGTACGGGTCCCAAAACAGACCCTTGAGGAACTCCACTTGTTATCCCTTTCCAGCAGGATTTAGCACCGTTAACAACAACTCTCTGACTATGGTTATCCAGCCAATTATGCACCCACCTTATCGTGGCCCTATCTAAGTTATATTTGCCTAGTTTATCAATAAGAATATCATGCGAGACCGTATCAAATACCTTACTAAAGTCTAGGTATATGACATCCACCGCTTCTCCCTTATTTGTTAGCTTTGTTTTAAGTCTCTTTCATAGATGTCCAGCACTGGAGCTACAGCATAGAGGTTCAAAAAGTGAAAAAAAAATCAGATCTAATTCATCTCCATATGTTTGTCAATAGTAAGATTTTACCTTAGGCTACAGGCTGAAACCTATTTAGTCATTTTTATTCAAGGTAGATTATCATGCCTACTATAGATAGTGCTACTCATTGATGTAGTCTTGTGGCATCTATACAATTAACTTTCCTTCATTGCACATCAGTGGCATGTTACATTTTTCCTAACAACCTCTATGGATGCATATAATCTCATCACAATACATGAAGCATGTCCAATAAAAGAAACATTGATGGGTACTTTAGCTAAATATAGCACCAAGATTTCACATGGGCTGGACCTAAAAGAAATGAAATTTGATCATTAGAACAACTCTGTGTCTCAGTCCTTTCCCAACAGGTTTTGTCCATATTAAATATAGAGAAATCAAAATGAAAGTTGAAGCCATGAGCAAATACACAAGTTCTAGAAAGAGTGGAGACTTGGTCATTATGCTCTGTATTTCTAAGTGCACATGCACAGTGTCACTGCTTCATGCTGAAACAGCCAGCAGGTTCAAGATGGGCCTGCTCATGTTTTCCATAGATTTCAATGGAAAGTATAAGTTCTCACACCTGTCTGGTGGGGTGGCTCCACATTTCAGTGGTCTGCATGTATGGGTATATGTGCAGGTATAGACCCAGATTTAACAAATATGGACAACTCTATTGCCACCTAGCAGAAAAAGTCACATACATGGTTGTTAGTCATACTAACCCTTATTCCACTGCCCTCAAAGAACTACACTGAGAATCTGAAAAACCCATTTTCACTTTTCTCCCTATCCCAAGTCCAGATATAGTCACTCATCCTTTTTCCTACTTCTTTATAATGCCATCAGCCCATCTCTTTGGATGCTGCTTGGATCAGCTCCAAACCATGTTCTACGCTGCATCTTATGGATGTTCATTCTTAGCTGACCTGCCTTCAGCTAAGGCATGATACCTGACAAATCCTAAAATCTTAAGGGCTAAATGAGATGGGCCCACTGAAAATCTTTTTCTGTTTCTTATTAGACTTTGGAACCAAAATTATCTGAAAGATGAAACTTTCAGATGCCAAATTTTATGGCTCAAAATATGTTGGCCCAACAAAAACATTAGAAAATTTACTGTAAAAAACATTCCTCTGTTGCTTCTGAGATGGACTGGTGCCACATATTTTTCCATCTCTTTGATCCTGAAACTATCTGTCACACTTTTTCACAGGCTAACATAACATTAATAATTCCTTAATGTCCACATTAAAAGTAAATAGCTGTTTAAAGTGTACCAAACATTTAACTAGACCATTTAAGTTGAGAAGAAAGTTGAGGGGGTATTTTTTGCATGATATGAAAATATTTGTGTTGTTATAAACATTTGTGATTTATGAAATATATAATGCACAACACATGAAAACTAAATAAGGCCATACAAACAACTCTGATGTCATCAAAGAACAACTGAGCTCCACTTTCATCTCAAAATTAATCACCAAGTCAGCAAAAGCCAATTGGTCCACTGTCACGGGGTGCGGCCCCAGTCTGCCGCCCCCACTGTTCCGCCGCCCCCACTGTTCCGCTTGCAGTCAGGTAGTGCCCAATGCACCGTTTGCTCACACACCTCCTTGGCGGAGTGGGGGGTCCGGGCCCGCCCTCACTCCGGACCCCGACCCAGGGCCCTGACACCGAGAGCGTGCCTCTCGGTGGTAGCAGGGGGGTAGTACCCCAAACGCACCTGCTCCCGGGATACACGACCCGCCCTGGGTCCTCCTCCACTCCGCTAGGCCGCTCGGCCTATGTGGTCACCCTGACCGGCCCCTTCTCCTCCGGGGCTACTCCCTCCGTTGCCTCCCACTCGCCGTCCTCCCTTTGCTTTCCTTCCCCTCCCTCCTTGCCGGTCTCACCCCGCGCCTACCACCGCAGGCAGGGGTCGTTCCAGGCATCCGCTGCAAGCCGCGTTCCCGGGCGCGTCGTGATGACGCGTCCCGGCCTCCCCGGCCCCGCTCCCTCGATCGCCGGGCCCTGCCGCGGCCGCGTCTAGCTCCCCGGGGGTCCCCGTTATCGCCCGCGAGTGGCGGGGCGGTCCTGCCCCGTCACATCCACCTTGTGATCCCATGTAGCCCAGTTTTACATTTATTTTGCTGAGTTGCTCTTGATTTACAACTGTGAAGATGATTTACAGAATGTGGCCCACTGTGTACTGTCTTTATCTCAGTTATTAATGCAACCTTAGTAATAATGTGCAGTGTTAGATTATATTATATAATGATGGTACCTCAGTGTCCTCAGAAAATGTGCCCCTCACCCATCCACCCACACATACATAAAACTTTGAAAATGTTATACATACATATGAGATTGTATGGGTGCTAAATGGGTTGGTTTTCAAATCTATATGGCATGTACATTAATGGGTCACATTAATGTATATTAATGGTTCTTTATCAGCTTCTATTTGTGGGTATATAGTATTCTGCAGGTTTCATCTATGCACATAGTTACTTGTCCAGGCAGTGAGAGAAATTACACAAGCAAAGCTTATTTTAACTGCAGTTTACATGCGTACCATGAGTGTCTTTGCATGCAAGAGATAGTGTGCGATGAATTGTAAGTAAAGTGTAATGCTGGCAGGCAGAACCAAACCTAAGAACTCTGGAGCTTAATGTGTGAGTCTCTAGAGCTTAAGCCAAAAGCCAGATGCCTCTCAGCTAAGGCTGTAGAGCCAACTCATTCTTTCGCTCTGCAAGTGGTCTAACTGCCACTACATGGGACAGTGAACCACACCAGCAGGTGTGTGGGTTACACAAGCAAAGGTATGCACAACCCTCATGCATGCAATAAAGAATCTCTGGGCCAGATTCTGTGGTACATTCTCACCATTTCATATTGCTCGTAACTAAAGGGACCAGAAAACAGCTGGAGCTACTCAGTTTGGGCAGCCTCCAGTGATGGCTCCTGCACTGCAGCCCCCAGTGTAAGGGGAATGTCAAGAGCAGGAAAGGGCATGACTGGAGTACTTTTGGTCTGTGGCAGTCCACAGCTGCCCTCATCTACACCCAGACTAATGCAGAATCATTCTTGAAGTCAAGTAGCCACAAATGGCTGTTTGTGATTCCTAAACTCCTCTGAGCTGCATTGGTACAGACAAGGTGCCTCCCAGAACCTATTTTGAAAGAATAATCCCGTATGTGTAGGGATTATATCATAATGTATACATGGTGCATCCATAAATAAATGTAGATTTGTCATCCCTGAAGGAGGGAAAGCAAATGCCATTTCAAACCATTGTAAGTACTATTTATACCACAGCCCTGTTAAGAGGAGGAGAGAGCTGTCACTAACATGGAAAAAACACTTATGTAAAAGCTACTTTTCCAAATGTAATGTTGATTGGCAAGGCTAGATACTCCCTGAGCTGACTCTTTTCCTTCTCTAAGGGTGAAGTCCTGCTCACCTTGCTCGTGTGAGTATTCCCGTGATGTCAATGGATCTAGTTTTGAAACAGAATAGGATTTGGTCTAACATTTGGCTGCAAAAGTATCTTTCAACAGTTATTTACTAGGGGCTCCTTTTTTACCAACAAAGAGTTTTCTTCAGGTTCAGAAGGTACTGCAGGTCTGGTTACAGCAGTGTTTTCTATTGGTTTTCCAGAGCTTGCAGCAGCCCTCTGACATAAAGAAACATACTGACGTTCAAAGTCTTGACCCATTCAACTATCTGTGGATAACATGCATCAATGATAGGTACAGCATCAGTCATTTGATGCTGGCTGCATATGCATTTAATTACTATCTATCAAAATAAATATAATTCTTCTGTTGGTTTTACCAGCAAAGAAAATAGCAACCGACCAACAAACAAAAGCCAAAGAAATTAGAGTTGCTTTTTAGGAATAATTGATTGCTCTGATTTTTTTTTTTACAATAGGCCTTCAAGTAAATCAAAGCTGATTAAAAAGTCTGGTATTGAGGGGTTTTTTGGCCATCTCTTCAACTATTTTTTAAACACTCAAATACCTTAATAATATTATCTGAACACACATATATACATATTAGTGGCAGTAGTGCTGGTGTTAGGAAGAATAAAGTACCATCTATTAAACAGCATCCATCTCAGAACCTTCCTAACACCAAAAGAAAGTGCATATATCACAGGACCACTGAGATAAAGTAACGCTCAGCCCTAGAGGGCACAGATTTCGTCTTTATGTAAATCAGCGCCTGTCACTGCATGCATGATTCACTGCTCAGAGTGTACTCTTCTGTGACGAATGAGTCCCGCTTAATTTGGCAGTGATTATGCGGGTTGCTGGCCCTCTAAACCCCTTTGAACTTGTAATTGCTGCTGGTTTAAATAATGAACATTAAGGGGAGGTGGATTCATAAAACTGCAGATAATTACAATTTTTTTCTTTTTTCCTTTGTTTTTTTTTTATGGAAATAAAAGGCTTCTGAGGCCAAAGATAACTGTATCGTGCTAGGTTGTTACCGAAATAAAATTGCAGTCTTGTTCAGTATCAAGGAACGAAAGGGAAAGAAAGAGGAAAAGAGGGAGAGAGAGAGAGAGAGAGAGAGAGAGCTCAGAATGGCTTGGATGCCAGTAGAAAAGGAGGAGCAATGGCATTCATGAATATTCATAGCTAGTCACATCTGTAGCAGGCTTGCTTTCCACCTTTTTTTCTTTGCAGTTCAACATGGACTAGAAGTGCTAACAAAAGAAGGTGATTGTGCAGTTCTATCAGGTTCCAGGTTTAATCTTTGCAGTGCATACTGGTGAACTAACTTACTTTTTTTTCTTTTAAAGACTTCTGATTTTAAAAAAAACCCACACCAACCAAACAAAAAACATGCCTTTAACCAGAGGATTTTTTTTCCTGTGCAGCTTTTTTTAAAATTATGTTCCTGTAATTATGAATGTGAGGGATTCAGTTGCCAAGGAAGCATGATGTGTAACATGGAGCAAAATCATTTCCCCCATTTATGTGCAGTTTACTAAATGCTCCAATAATTTTTCATTCAGTACAATTTTTATTTTTGTGGGTTATGTATCAAAACAAAAGACAGTGTTATTGAGGTGGGGGCAGAAACCAAAGTCAGCCAAGTCAGCCAGCTACTACCCAGAAACAACAAAGAATGAATGATAAATTTAGCAGCCTCATGTTCAATTTTCAAACAACACAGCAGAGATTTATAGCTTTGCTGCTTCCATGGCAAATGAAGCAGCACACAGAAAGCGTGTCTGTTTTTGATTTTGCTATGTTTTCCCCCTTTTTCTGTTCTTTGTCTATTTGCAGGATTTTTTTTAAAACTCTACATTTTCTTTATCCTGGTGTGAGATGAATATCAAAGGCCTAGTGCTGTTGGTAAGCCTCCAGCATACAACAGCAGCTCAATGGGATGTTATTAGAACCTGCGTCACAACATGGCAGACTGTGATTAATAGCAACTGTATCAACGGTAGCAACTTCTCAACAACACCCTCCAGCAGCTCTAAAGGGGCCAAGTGAAAAGGGGGGGAAGTCTGTAAAAACTAGCTACCAAAGGTTCAGTTATGCATATGAGTAGGTTATGTCACAACTATGCAACTGCTTTCAGCCAGAAGATAGTGGTGGTATTTATTTAAAAGAACACTGCCAAACACAGACTGATCAGAATTTTTGATTTGCCAGAGCCAAACACATTAAGAACTGAACTTCTGGATAGAGAGAAGGATCTTATGGAGCTCAGGAATGATTTTAGTGATGTAATGGAGGTCCCTACAAAGACATCAACAGAAATTTTCCCAGCGCTTCAGCGATATGTAAGCAACGGCAGGGTTGTCAAAAGTTCTCTTGCATATACGTAGAGGAAACTGACTTTTATTTCAAATGAAGTTTGAATTTGCATCATTGCTCAATCATTTTTCTAAAATTACAACTTGGAAACTTGGAAACTGGCCCAAACCAAACCCCTAGATCCAAACACTCTGGAATGTATAAAGTTTTTCAAAAACCCAATCCAAATCCAGAAAATAATTATGCAAATGTCCCTTTATCTTCAAGGGGAACCAAACCAAATGTCAAAACAACCCAGATTTGGAGGTGTTCCAGCCTCAGACCTGAAATGTAGAGAGTGGTTCCTGTCTGTTTAATATTAACATTTCCTTTCCATAAAACACTTTTACAGTTTAGTCATTTTAATTGGTGTTACCTGTAGTTTTTTAAGCAAACAAACAAACAAACATACATACATGGCGGTTATTCTGCTGGCCTCTGTCAGTCCAAGATAAGAGGTACAGTGTATCTCTGCACAGGTAAGTGATGTTACTGGTCTCAGTTACAAATTGCACTTTTATCATATTGTTGCAGCACACAGTAAATAGCTGCTTGTAAGAGAACAATTAATCGTGTAACAGTTTTACTCCACCTCTCAAGGAATGAGGGAGAAGAAAAAGAGGACTTCTTGTTATCAGGGCTGATGATGAAGAAGGTAATCAGCAGTTGGAAAGAGACAACACCACCCAGGGAAGTGGTCTGTAAATTAGAGGAGCAGGTTAGCAGAGCATAGGAAGGAGGAAAAACACTAGTGTATTATGCTGTCATCTCTCAGGAGTTAGAATGACGGAATAGGCACTCATGGTCAAAGTATCTCTTGTTGATCAGTTATTTTTAATCTAATGCCCCTCTCATCTTTAATTATTATGTAGTTATTTCTACTGAAAAAGCAGGGTTTATACTGTGTAGAGTCTAGGGATAATGCTGTTGTATCTGGGATACTAAAAATGCTAGTCCTAAATGTCATTAAAAACACAAAAAAACCACTAGCTCATTTTACCCACATTACAAATGCAAGCAAGTTGCTCAGCCAGTCACAGACATATGTATTTGAGCCAAAGACTTCAAGCACTACCTTGTTACCTGCACGTATTTGAAGACCATAATTAAGAAGCGCAAATTGGTTTACAGTAAACACAAGAAATTGGAAGAGATCTGTGCTTACAATTTTCTCAAACACTAATTTTCTTTATCTGAGCATCAAGGGTGATTAAAATCATGGGGCAATTAGCTGCTGAGTGAAGAGATCACTTACTGTTGCAGAAAGACAGACCGCCCTTACAAGATCTCAAAAATAAAAACCTAGGCTCCATTTTCAGCTGCATCCAGTGGTAAGGAAATGCCAAGGAACTGTTTGTGGCTTCCTGATCCAAGGCTTGGCTAAGGATAGTGCAGTACTTGATGTGGTTTACAGCAGACTCCTGGAACTGAGGGCGCCCAACAGCACTCTGCCTACACCCCTTGCTAATCAGGATGTCCCTGGTATATCCTCTAGTCTGTGGGATGGGAGATATGTGGCACAGGAACTGGCTATGATAGAGAAGTCCCAACCTGGACTTTCCAGACCTTTACCATGTGAGAGTGGCACAAAATGGATCAAGCCATAAAAGTGAATAGCGAACTGTGGAGTCTCATAGAAAAATTTGCAAAGTGTTTCCCTGATATCTCATAATGATCCTAGATAAGTCACTTAGCCCTAAATTATCCCCATTTGGGGTTTTTCCCTTCTTAGGGGATCAGAAAATTGGTGTGTTTGTGATCAGAGTGTTTCTTTCTATTTGTTCTATTGGAGATTGGGTGAAATAGAGCTCGATACCCAAGGAATTAACAAGGTAGTCAACCTATGTATTACCCAAGATCTTGAGGGATATAGTGGAGATCGAGATTGACCAATAGAAGCTTTGTGCCTCTACACTGCACCCTAGTCTCCCCTGACAGGACCTCCACTGGAGAGTGAGTATGCCAAAAACTGAGTTACCTGGGTGGCCCCAGTATCAGCACACCCCACAAGAAAATGGACCAGATGGCAATTAGATTAAGGCTGACAAGACCAATATTAACACACTTGATGATATCCTCTGGTTCAGGAAGAATAATTCCATAGATAGTGGGTTTTTCCCTAGCCATTCCTTTCTTGTCCCAATATATAACTTCCATTGCCAGCTGAAGACCCTAATACACACTGAAAGGGTCCTACGAATACAGGGAAGCAGACGTAAAGATTCTGTGGCAGAACTCTCACCAATCATGTCCTATAAAAACAAAATTGCTGCCTTAGGGTCAAAAGCTGCCTTCAGATGTCTGGCTCTCACTGGTATCTATAGGAGCCACATCCTAGGGGAGTCAATAAATGGACCATGGGCCAAATATGAACTGCCAGGTGCTTTTGAATGCCCTAAATTATATTATTAATTATTTTATTTTATTGCTGGTAACATGGGAATAACCAGAAGAAAAAGAAAAACAGAGACATGATACATTTGCTTGGATGAAGTACAGTTTACTCCTGTTCTTCTGTATTCATGAGAGTAAATTTCAGAAATAACCAAAGCAAAAGTGACAAAACCCCAAAACCACAATGAGTAAACAGTAGTTTTTTAAGTGCTGTGGGAACAGAGACATTTGTTTAAGTAACCACTGTTTAAAAATTACAGACATAGTAACACCAAAATAAACAGATTGCAATGCTGTTTATTTTAAGATACACAATAGTAATGCAAGTGTGACATGCCCTGAATTCAGGGTGCACTAACATTATTTACAGTTCTGAAGACCAGTAGGAAAACTCAGCTACATGCCAGAATACTCCCTGTTCAGATGAGATCAAAGGTCAGGCAAAGGAGCGAATTCATTTTTTTTCCAGCAAGGATTATTTCAACATGCAGCCACAGAACAGCGCTGCTCGCTCTGCCCATGTAAGTCAGTCCTTCAAAGTCCTTCAGAAGGCATTGTTTGTTAGCACCGCGTTGAACAATGAACAACTAATTCTGGGGAAGGATTATGGATAGCGATAGGAGAATTCAGGAGTAAATACCGTCAGGGAATGTCTACACTAGGAAATTATTTTGAAGTAAGTAAATTTCAAAATAATAACTCCCGAAATAACAAAATCGAAATAGCATGTCCCCACTACAAGGAGTGTTGAAATTCGTCTGAGATAGGCTCCATTAATGTGGATGCGCTACCTTGACTTAGAGCCCCAGGAAGCACTGGGGAGTAATTACTTCAAATTACTCTGGGAAGTAGTTATTTTGAAATAGCAGCAGCGGAGCATGCTATTTAAAAATAAGAGTTATTCTCTGAGGAAAGCAGGAGTACAGACTTAGAAATAACCATCCTGCTATTTCGAAATAACGGGCTTAGTAGTGTGGACGCTCCACTTTTTATTTTGAAATAAGGGGGGTTATTTCAAAATAGCTCCCTAGAGAAGAGCAGAGCTCAGAGAGATTTAAAACCCACTTCACCCACCATTTTTTAAAAATTCTCCAAATAAGCCATGCTCATTAGCTCAGTTTGAACTGGACAAAAGATGCAAAAAAGGGGGTTAATGCTAACAAAACTTTAAGAGCAGTTCTACTCTGAAAAGTGACTATGTAAAAAGAAAACCTGCCTTACTAGATTTGTGGCATGTGTATTCTGAGTCATATCCGATTACTTTACTGGCAAAATTCCAATTGACTTGGTGCAGGATCAAACCCTAAAGCAAGTTTATGCTACTTTTTAGGGTTTTTTTAGCCCACTGGAGCCAGTCTAGCTATAGGTGAGTGAACTATTTCTATTTCAACCCTTGCATCATCAACTGATTTTTTTCTTATTATTGCAAAATTATTGTTATGGTAGAATCTTTATTGAGAACAATGACTGTGCCAGAAAGAATCTAGGCTGGCCCTTGGATCTCTGGCTGAATTTGCAGGTGCTGGCAATTAGAAAATGCTTATTTTGACATGTAAACTGAGCACATTTGATCTGTAAGTCATTGAGACAAACATGGAACTCCAGCGTCCCGTTATTACAAAGTCACTTTTCATAGCAGAACTGCACTTCACATTCAAAATATAATCTATTCCTTATTGGTGGTTTTGAGTGAAAGTGAAATTCAGCAGTTTCTGTCAGTGGGTTTTGACTCAATAGTTTCTTGGGTTCACTCCACGTCCCGCACAACCTGAGTTTTGAATTGAAATTTGGGGTTGGAACCAACACAATATCTGTAAGTGAAATACAGATTACTGGAAAACCTTACCTGGTTTGGCACTAGGATTCCAGTGCAAAACTATAACCTGACAGTTTTGCATGAAATTTGAAGTGGCCCGAGAAGTAAATGTCACTTTTTCCACATTGCGCCTCTGTTTTCCCATCTGTAAAATGATGAAAATAATACTACCCTCATTTATTAAAGGAAAGGCTTGGAGACCATCTGATGAAAAGCACTTATATAAGAGTTATTATATTATTCTATTTTGAACACTCAAGAGTTTCATGGTATTTTGATCCAGGGCTTGAATTTAGCCACCCTGGAAATGGGGCCAAAGGTGAAATCTGGATCCAGGTTTAGATTCCAACCATCATCAAAGTTGGAAATGTTAAGATTGAGGGTCTGAGTTTAGACCTATCGCTGCTTGAAATATTTTTCAACTATAGTGAGTCAGTTAGACATTGTGACAGTTGAGATCAGCTAATGTGTCTGACAGGCCATACACATGGATGTGTGGGAGTAAGGTATTTTCAGTGCAGTGTCCTCAACTCTAGACCTTGCACCCCTCATTGATTTGACAGAGCCTTAGTCTGCTGACCTTCAACGCACAGTGTAATTTACAGCTATTTGTTCAAGCCTTAGCCTGAGGTGATAGTGTTGTGTATATTTGTTATATTTACATCTTAATTTAGGGGAATGAAGTCATTTATATTTTGACTTTGGTCAAAAAAATGTGCATAGAAAGTAAGAATTTCTGCACATGCCTACAGAGCCAACTGGAATAAGTGTACTTTTAAAAATCCAAACATAAATAAAAATTAACAAAAACCATAAAACAAGATGACTTTGGCGAGGTTTCTTTGTGAACCAGGCTCTCATGTTTAGGGTTATGTTGTAAATGTTTCACTAGAAACAAAAAGTGAGAGGCAGATGAGAAGAGTCAGGCCTAGAAGGATTAAACCTACCCCAGCAAGTCAGGATCACACTGAATAGTAGTTTCTCAAACTTCATTGCACCATGATCCTGTTCCAACAACCAAACTTCCTACACAATCCTAGGAAGGGGGACCAAAACCCAAACCCACAGGGAACCCAAAGATAAAGCCTCAACTTTACCATCATGTAGGGCACTAAAGCTTGAGGGCTTCAGCTCTGGGTAGTGGGGCTTACACTTGAAGGGGTTCAGCCTTGAGCTTCAACAAGTCTAATGCCAGCCCTGGTGACCCCATTAAAATGGTATCATGAGACCCAGTTTGGGGTTCAGACCCCAAAGCGCTGTGCCGTGTCATCTTAAAAGTTCCCTATGAAAAGTTATTTCCCTGTTTCCTTTGCTTATTATCCTACAGTCTTATAGATTTTAATGTCAATACATTTTTCTAGTAGTCAGCCTAAATGTAGGTTTTCATGCCATTATTCCTAATCATACCTTTTTATTCCACCCTACACCATTCCTCTTCCTCATTGTTTATAGCCTTCAATTATTCACAGATTCATTCCTCATACCCTCTCTCTGTTTCTCCAAATCCCAGTTTTTTAAAAGGGGGGCCAGTTAAAGAACAGCATAGGATCTCAATTCTCAGATCTCATCGTCTTTCAATCTCCCTTCCATTTTTAGGGAATCAATGCTCTGCAACTCCTAGTTCTCCAAACATCCTCTTTCTTTCCATCTGTAGTCTTTCTCACAGACATTCACTGGTCTGGCCTCAGGCTACTTTCATAATCATCAAGAAATAAACCAAACCCGATGTTCAGCATGAGATCACAACACAGTGATCTCACTCTGAACATTACCTTTCATTACAGCAACACTATTGACTCCTTTGCTTAGAACAGTGTGAATTTCCCACCAGCTCAGTTGTGTGATATTTGGCCTCTTTTAGGCTAACTAACTCCTCATAGAGCAAGCCTAGAGGACAAAGAGTAGAAAGCTCATGAGTCTCGAGGGCTTGTTTGCAATCCTAGCAAAAAGTTTGCTACAGCTCTAGTTCAGGAGAGAGCGGAGTATTAGAGTGAAAAGGAGGCGGGGGGGACATTATCACCTATCTTCAGCTAGTGTCTTGAATCGGATTCAGATATCAGGAAGCCACACTTGGGATAATGTTAACAGTTCTAGAGTTACTTATTCATAACCATGCTGGCAAAACTTCATGGTCTTGCTTATTGGAAGATTTGTTTGCATTTGTTTTTATCCTACATCAACATATAATTTTTTGAATAGTGGAATTTAATCCCCTTTACAAACCTTATCTCTCTCTAAATCAGGGGTGGGCAAGACATGGGCTATGAGCCAGATCCAGCCTGCCAAGCCATTGGATCAGGCCTGCGGGCCACATGATCCAGCCCATAGGCTGCCCCTTAGGCACAGAGCAGCCAGCTGCTTCAGAGCAGCCCAAAACCACTTTAAATGACTAGCTGCTTGCTGTGTCTCTCTGCTCCAGGCGCCAGGGAGAGGGAGGCTTCACGGAAAATGGCCAAAGGGAGCTGAGATATTTTCCTGGAGGGAAAGGCGGTGCGTGAATTCTCCCCCTCTCCCCAGCACCTGGAGCAGAGAGACACAGGGAACAGCCAGCCATTTTGAGCAGCCTGGGGCTGTGGCAGGCAGGGAGCCAACTTGGGGTTCTGTAGGGCTGCTGGCCAGCAGCCACCTAGGTAAGTACCTCCCAGCCATACCCTGCCTCTGGAACCCCAGCCCCTCCATCACCCTATCCCTGTTCCAGGCTACTGTCCCCACCTGCCTAGGTCACCATCAAACCCTCTGCATCCCCTCCCCTCCTTCCCAGGTCACAACTCCCTCCCTGACCCTGAACTCCCTCCTGCACCCTTGCCTCAGGCCAGAATTCTCTCCTGCACCCATGACCCCTCCTGGACCTTGCCCTCCAAGCACCTGTTCCAGATCACATCCCCTTCTTCATCCAAACTCCCTCTCATACCCCACACCTCTCCTGTACCCCAATCCTTTTCCTTAAGCTCCCTTCTGCACATAACCTCCATCCCAGATCCTGCACCCCCTCCATAAACAAGCGCAGCCCTTAACCACTTACCAAAATTTTGGAGTGGCTCTCCGTCGCAAATTATTGCCCATCCCTGCTGTAAATGGAACATGCTTGGAAAAAAGGGGAGACCATGGCTTTTTCCTTTGAAGTTTCTTTGCATCCAAAAGCACTGTGGGATACAAGTTCAGGTTTCATGGAGCCAGGACAGCTAAAATTAATTACAGTAGTGAATTGTCTGCAAAGGCTAGATGTGCGCTAAGCAGTGGGATTTTCTTCTGGTTTGTGAAATGTTTGCTTGACATTTAGTGAACAGCATGAGACACACACATACAAAGCTCCTTCTCTACGCCTGAGATATAATAGGTATATTATGTTAAAACAATATAGGTTGATTGTGATCCTTCTAAAATACAGAAGCCCGTCCCATCAACCACAGCAAAGGACACACCAACATCTTTCTTCTAGAAGACTTTACCTCATTTAATGAAGTGCCAACAGCACTGAGAGGAGGCAGAGAGAGAAACCAAGAGCATGTGGAACATTCCTTTGCAGCAGTAACTGGCAGCAGGGGGTGGAGGGTATTAAACAATTTTTTTCTTACCTTGCACAATAAATAGCTTATTTTCAAATTTCTCTGGGTTTCATCACATAATAATTTATTCAGAAGGGAGCTTCTGAGTGTCCCTTTCTCACTGGAATTACAAAGGACCCTCCAGGGGCTTAGCAATATTCAGCAGGGCTTAGAAACACATATTCAAACTAGGGCCTATGCTCGGTAGCACTGACCCTTTTTATATACAACCTCTTTTGTCACCCTTTTTAAATATCCATTTCACTTTCTTCACACCCCTGCTGTCTCTGCCCCTTTGCTATCACCCCTCCTTATGCAAGCAAATGGCAACAAAAACTTTCATCCCCTACACCCTTGCCTAGGATTGGCCTCCCCTTGTGGCTTGCTGTTCTGGCAGTAAGGAGGCTACAAACAGACACAAAGGTAGGCTTCAAAAGAGCTCACAGCTGCCTCTCTCTGCTCCTTAGTAGCCATGGGACTTTCCTAAAGTGAAGGAGGGTCTTTGGAAGCTTTCTAATTCCTGCTTGTCCTTTGCTCTTCCCTCTGGTGCACTCTGGGGTGTCCCACTTCCCCCTCCCTCTTCGAGCTAATCAAACACTGGGAAAGGAACAGATGGGAAGTAGCTGCATGCAGCAAAAGAGACTGCAAAGGACCAGCAGGAGTAGGAAAGTTGTCAAAAGCCCTGCTTCACTTTAGGAAACTCCCATGGTTAGTGAAGAAGAGGAGAAACATCTAATGACTCTTTGAAACCCAGCATTATATGTCTTGTTTGATGCCACTTAGCCGTTCTCTTCCCTTCATGCCAGTGGAAGCCCCAGTCATACCATGGGGTAAAATTTGTGCCCAGCGTAGTTTTACTTATTACCTGGATAATCTCAGAACCTCTTAGGACAGCTGAGGAATACTAGATTCCATGGGCTTTTAACAACCCTGTTGACAGATTTTCAGCAAAGATAGAACTTGAGACCTTCCTCAATGAGCAGCACAGGAGAAAGACATAGGTCATTGGGGCTAATGCACCTACTGCTGCTGAAAAGCTGTTCTCTTCAGTGTAGACCAGGGGGAACACATCACAACCCTAGGTATTATACACTCTCCCTGACTGGGGTAGTTCATTCTGAGCTTTTGAAGTCTACAACTATGTGATTTCCTGAACAGACATCTGATTTATGAGACCTGTTCATCAGCAAGGATGCACCCAGCAATGACACAGGTCGGTAATAACAAAGCTATTCTAAGCAACTCTTATATGATGCTTTTCATCCACATATCTCAAAGTATATTAAAGGAGGCCAGTGTCATTATCCCCAACTGTATACAGGGGGGAACCAAGGCAAGGTCACCAGCAGAAAAAGGAAAAAGAACCCAACTTTCCTGAGTCCCAGTCCAGGGTACTAATCATTCAGCCAGTTTCCCTGGTAGCAGTATTCTGTGGTCTAGTCACTAGAGGGAGACATGTTGCCCTTCCTCCTCACTAAAGCAATTGGTAATTCCAGAACCAGATCAGCAGGGCTTGAAGGTTTTACAAATATCTAATATAGTGTATGAATCAATAGCTCTTTTGAAGTAATCATAATCTTTGGGGTTATTAGGAAGCAAAACTGACCTCATTATGACCTCACGGTCTCATCTCCTACCGTATGCTGTTTCTATATTAGCGCTCAGATAGATCCCTTAAAAATTACGGAAGGACAAAGATGGCTAGGCATTAATCTGTGAATTATCTGCAACTATTTCAGTACAGTGAAATTAAACCTACATGTTTGCCCCTGCTAGGGAAAAAAGGGAAGCTGTTTTTAAAAAGACAATATTGGGTAATAATGCAGCATATATCATCTGTTAATTTTTTTTTCAAATTAGTATAACAGGGTTCAAAGTACTCTTGAGTAGATTTTCATCTCAGAAAATATCTACTCTATTTGTACAGTATAAAAGTGAACAGCAGAATTACCATTGCTTTGAGACTTAGGCAAATATAGTTTCCACTTTAGAATATTCAGCTACCACTTAGAAATGTACTTCAATCCAAGCAGAAAATAATCCACACGACAGTCACATTTCTATGTAACCATGCAAATAAATATATACAGATTTTTTTATAGCAAACTAAAATTTTAGTTGATTTTTTTTACTAAATTCAAACTCTGATTCAGTGTACTGGGACTGTAAAAGCATGTCATGAGGTGTTAAACATTTTATGGACAAAGTAGTCAAAAGCTACAAATATTTTCTTTGAAAATACCATAATAAAAAGATAAAACCAAGATTTAAAAAATATCTTTATGCCATTATACAGTGACTTGACAACCTATCATCCACTATTAGACAAAACAATTGAAATTAATTCTGGCAGATATGGGACTAGCAGTTAAAAATAAAAATAGCACATGTAAAAGCATGAAAACTGTATTGCTATTATGTTTTAAGATAATAATAAATCTTTAAAGGTGCCAATGATTGCTTTGGATACTGTAAACAGCTGCTGACAATCAACTCTGAAATATGTAATACATTGGTATTCTGAGTGTAACTTAAGGCAAACTCCATGAAACCAAAAGTAATGTTGTCTGCCATAAACGACTCATTTCATTAGACAGAAATGGGACTAGACATCTCCATTTCATAGTCATGTTGGAATGGTGCATGCAGATGACAGAATTGCACACTCATTACACTATAGCTCTAATTTTATAGAAAATTATTCCTGAAAAACAATTATTCTGTTCAGAGATCTTGAAAAGGTGGTTTTAAATAAACATGTCCTAAGGCAAAACTGAGGGGTGGTATCATTTTACACAAACAACTGCAACAATTTTTCTATAAAAAGAAAAACTACAGTGTGGAGAAAGAAGGTTCTGTGACTATCCTATTGCAAAATGTTGTTAAGCAATGCAACTTTAAGCTATTCAGATGATCTTTGACCTTTGTTCCATTGTGATCTGAATATTCAGAGATTCTGTTGCACAGCATTTAAGACTGCAACATTTTGGGAGTTTTTAAACACTTGGCTATGCACATTTGCATATGCCTTTATTCAATCTCTTTTACCTTGCAATCCTCAAAGCTACAACTTTACCTTTATGAATTCTTGTGGTTAGTTTTCATTTTTACAGTTATTTTTGGGAGTTCACCACATGAACTCTGGGACCTTCACATTCTTTCCTCTCTTTTTTTCAATTAATTCCTGGATTTCTGGTTTTACAAGGCTTTTGTAATCTAATGATAACAACCAGAAAACACATTGACTGTTCATATCTTGCTAGCCTACTACCTCTACCTTGCTCCGTTGAGCCATTTTTAACAGCACTACCAAGTACATGACTTAAGTTGCTATCTCTTCCCAGTTATTAATACCTTGTTTGAAAATACCATGAAAAATATTAAATGGGGAAATAAAATTTGTTTCCCAAAGCTAGCCATTGAGTGGGTTCTAAGATCTATTGTCTGATGGTTAGGAGGTTACTTCACATGTTGTATGGGCAAACTTCACCCTGCAGAAGAGAGCCAAGACACTACTTAAATCTCATGTTATCCGTACACAGGGAAGAGGCTAGATGCAGGCAGAATGGCAGCACTGAAGCTACTACATCCCTTACACACTAGAGACAGGAGGGCAGCAAGCTAACACCAAATAGACTGGTGTGTAGAGAGCTATTGTGGTAGCCATGGAAGAGTTCTATTATGCAGACTCAAATCACCCTCATAGAGGTTATAGAAGGGGTCCTCTGCAGTCCTCAACCTGAGCGTGGGTTGAGGGGCAACGCATTCCATCTCCTTTACCTATGCAGACTTCTCTGAATAAAACCTGATTACTTATATATGTGTGTGGGTGTATGTTCATTTCACCCTATACAAAATTTAGAATCTTCTTAGATAACAACTTTATGACACAGCAAACACATTTCTGAAAATACTGTTTTTAAAGCAGAAACATATTTTACCTTCTGAGATGGGCAATAAAGATTTGCTTCCCGAATGACCCAAGGAAAAAAAATCAAATGGAAAAGTAGTAATTACTCCCAAACCTTCCATGAGTCTATCAGACTATTGAAATTTTGGACTGTCTCTTTAATTTGAGGAACAGCTAAAAAGACGACAGATGGCAGACAGAATTGACTTATGTCCTCTATTCTTTACAGAAAAGGGGGGAGTGCAGAAAGTTTGATAAAGGCAGAAGCTACAGTATGCAGGCCTGTACTATAACTATCTAATGGTGCTTTTGACTGATAGGGTTAGAACATTTAGTTTTTCTTCCACAGACATGCTTTGTAGCAAACCAACAGTCCTGGAGGTTGCCATGGGTGATGAGAGTGCTGACATCCAGTCCCAAGTACAAATAAGCACATGACAAATGGCCCTACAGCCCTTAGACAGCCCTGAACCTTGGTGACCCCCTAAAAACCCAACCATCCCCATGCCCCTCCAAAAAGCATTATGGAATACATTTTAAAAAGTGCAAGCTTACAGTTAATTGAAAACACTGCTGGGTAACAGAAATGCTTAGGACAGCATGCACAAGTAAAAATAAATCACATAGCATTGTTATTTAATGCTCTGTGACATCATTTCCTGAAATTAAACAGAGATGACACAGATTCAGAGAGTCCCTGGTAAGGTTCAGTTCAAACAATTCACAGATGTTTTCCCCCAGCTAGCAGAAAACAATGCAAAAGCTTAAATCTCTCTCTCTCTCTCTTTGCTGGAGCAAGAAGGTAAGGCTGCCTTATACTACATGATCTAACAAAAATATGTTTTTTCTGAATATAATTACTAGAGCTGTAGTACTAAACAGATAGACCATTGTATCACAAAAGCATCAATTTTTGAGTGAACAGATGTTTATATAACAATGATTAGATTAACCATTCAGAGGCAGAGCTTGCTTTTGAGGGCCTCGAACCCCATGTCCCCATGGGGATGTACAGAGGTGGATGTAGAAATGTCAGGGCCAATCTTAGATTTCATTTTGAAAACAAACAAATATTTCTATATCTTTTCTTTGAAGAAATTAGCCTCAGCAATGTAAACTAACATCAATCACTAAAGTTGAAGCTCCAACTCTGTTTTTTCCTAAGGATCACAAGTTATTTACTACCACTCCTATGTCTACCCAGCACTGATCTCTTGGGGCCATGAGACCCAGTGCCATAGACACCATAATTTTCAGTGGTTTCCAGCTTTATTGTATTCAGGCTGCTACTAATGACATTAGGGCAAACACTAACTGTTACTATGTGCGTACAAGTGGGGCCCCAATGCCCCAACGCATTTCTGTAATACAAACAGTAATCAACATCAAAAGTTAAATAATAATAAAAACACCTGTAACTTCCCTCCTATCCTCAGCCTACGGCTGAGCCAGTTCCTCCGTTGAACATCCAGGGTGACCTCTGGCCACAAATAAACACAGCACAACAGTGTGTGAGGCAGCATGGTCCAATGGCCTAAGCAAAGGACTAAAAGCAAGAGTCCTACATTCTTATCCAGCTCTGCCATGATTTTCTCATGGGCTTCGGACAAGCCCGAAAAGCCAGCTTAGCTTTCCCAATTAATGTTTAACCATCTGTAAAATGTGACAATAATATTTCATGGACAATGATAAATAATTACTTAGTTAATGTTTGTAATGTTACATGGATTAAATTGTGGCTTTGTCACAGGCCCCATGTTATGGACAGTGCATTGTTGTGCTGCCCCAGGAGAACCGGAGTCAGATGATGACTCTGAAGTTCTTCCCATTTCCTGACAACCAGCTCCATTGAGACTGCTTTCCTTGCTGCTCCAGATCACAAAAACAGGTAGTCTACACTGCAGAGTAAAAGAACATCTTAGACCCCTTTTCGCTCCTGCACAGATACAAAGGACAGGTCACAATTTGCTCCTGTACAAGTACTCAAATTCAGCATAATGCCCATAAATCTCTTCATTGTGTAGGCCTCACAGCCCCAAGAGCCCTACTTTACTTGAACAAATGTCTTCCAATATTTTTTTAAAATGAGCAATTCCATACAAAGACCAGCAAAAACAGCTGCGAGGCACTTCTATAATAAGGTGTTGGTTTATTAAGTTGCTTCTTCATCTTTGTCTATAAATGTACTCTGTTCAGTTTGGGGTGTCCTAAAGAGTTTTCTTGCTATCCCTCCTCAAAATCCTTACTCACGAATCCTCTGCAAAGTGGTATGAATATGTTGCGTGGAGGCCAGTTATGACTGGGGAAGGGTGAATACAGTATTTGCTTTCTGGGCTTGTCCAAAATTATTAAAGCGGGCTTTGCTCAGAGGTCTTCTGTTCTAAGACCAAATGCAGCGAAATGTCTAATTCATACTGAGTTTCAATGGAGACACTTATACAAGTGGCTAGGTGATGTACTCATTTAACAAGATATGGGGCCAGGTTGTAATCTCAGGGCATGTCTACCTAGGAAATTATTTCAAAATAACTTATTATTTCAAAATAATAACTCCTGAAATAATAATTCTGAAATAGTATGTTCACACCATGGCGAAGCCTCAAAATTAGTCCAAGGTAGACTCCGTTAATGTGGACATGCTACCTTGACGTAGAGCCCCAAGAACCACTGGGAAGTAATTATTCTGAATGACTGTGGGGAGTAGTTTTTTCAAAACAGCAGCAGCGGAGCATCCTCACTACCGCTATTTTGAAATAACTAATTCAAAGTTAGGGTTATTCCTCATGGAAAGCAGGAGTTATTATTTTGAAATAACTAGCCCCTTATTTCAAAATAACAGGCTTGGTATTGTGGACGCTCCGCTTGTTATTTCGAAATAACTCCTTAATGTAGACCAGGGCTTAGAGACATGCATGTAAATCCACAGAAGTTAATGGATTTACTCTGAAGTAGATGTGACCTGAATTTGGTCCACAAACTTGTTATGTTAACTATTTGGAGGAAATGAACGTGTTTTCCCCATAATATCAATTCTTTTGTTCTAAACATCACCATGAGTATCTGTTTTTAAAAAATAACATTGGCCAGAACCTATTTAAAGCTGAATAGTTCCAGTGACTTCAGCTGAGCTGTGCCAATTTATATCAGCTGAGAATGTGACCCAATGATTCATAAAAGGATTTTTTTACTGTGCATACTCAAGGTAGTATTTTTGTATCAAAGGCAAATATATACTTTTAGTGAATATACACATACTTAAAGCTTTGAATAAAAGGAACAATAGTGAACTAGGACTTGAAAAAATGAGATCTCTCCAGATGAGTGTCACAAACATAATTGCATCTTCTGTTTTACTAGCACTACACCAGAAGGAAAAAATGAGTGTAGTGAATGGACTAAAAGTGTAGGTCTTGGTTCTCTTTGCTGCAGCAAAGGATGAATTACAAAAAGTATAAGAACAATGTAATTACTTCCTTTATGACTACATTCACTTCTGATTATGTACATGTATTTTTCAATGTCCTCTACCCTTTTAAACTACAGCACTGTTGTTGTTGTTTCTATAGTTGCTAACAAGAAAATGTTTAGCTCAAAAATTGATGTGAGCAAGGGTGTCTTTGTATCTGAGCACTTCCTGTTTTCATTCCATGATCAAATATGTTCTTTGCAGGGCAAATAGGGGAGCACTTGAGGGAGGAAAGCGAGATGTCTGAGAGGCTAATTGAGTGTACTAAGGGCTCCTTGGCATGGAGGAAAAGGAGTTTTCTAAAGCTATGAATAAACTCTCGGCTTGGGTCAGATTCTCGCTGTTTCTTTTCTTTAACTATCTTTGAAGTCAAATAAAAACAGCCTTAATGTCAGGTTTACCTTTCTGATATCATAATCTTTATGTACTATTGAAAAGCTTATACTACCACATTAGGATTTCCTTTACTTTCTCAAACACTGGACATTATCCAGAAAAAGCATACACATTTCCAACCAATTTATCCTCAGATCTTTTCATCTTCCTGTCCCGATGTAATTCCAAATGCAAGACAGATTCCAATATCCAGGGAAATTACATAAATTTCTATTTCTTGCTTTTCACTTTCATCAACAAAAACATGTGTGTATCTTATTTCTAACATAAGTAAAGTTACTGCAAAATGGAAAAGGTGGCAAGAAATTAAGACAATTATGAAAGCCAGCAGAGTCTGTGGGATACATTAATTCTACAAGAGAATTTAAGCACCTGTCTCTTTTCAAAAAGTCACTCAAGCTTATATAAAGAAGCTACTCAATTTTTAAATTAGGTTATCTTAGGGGATTGTAAAATAACTGAATATTTCATAAAGAAAAAAAGGTAGCGTTTTCTTTAAAGAAAGGTAATAAATGAATACGATTAGTTAGAGCTGAATTACCTTCCCACTAAGTTTGACATCTAAAGGAATTTGTGAGCTTAGTCAATGCTATGAGAGATAGACTGGAGTTGCTTCTTCTTCCAGGAAAACCAGAGGTTAACGATTTTTGTCATATTGAGACTAACAGCTAACAATTGCTACAGTTGGCCTTTAGTTTTTTATTTGTCCTTTTGAGGTATTCAAACTAGGTGACAATGGCTTGCAGTTGAGAACATATGTAGAGAGACCCCTGTGGTTTATGGAAAAAGTTGCTCCATGCTGGTTGGGTGTTTGAAAAAAAAATACAACCAGAGTTCTTTTATGTTCCTTTCGTTAATGAATGCATGAATGTCAAAATGCACCAATGGCCCATTCAAGGGGCAAAGCCTAAGCAGCCCCTTCTTTAAGAACACATCCTGAGATGTAAAATACATTTGCTTAACAAATTAAAATAATGAGATAATTCAATTAGTTTCTTTAAAAAAAAAAGAAAGAAAAAAGGGTACATCAGGGGATTATTGTAATACAAGAACAGGTCATACAGCACAAAAGAGGGACAAACCAATTTGAAATAAGGTTAGAGTAGTAATGAAGGAATGTACATTGAATCATGGACTCCTTTTGTAAAGAAATTTACTTGAAACAATAATTTATACATCATAGATTCCCTTTGCAATAGAGCTGGCATTTGAATGGACAAGCTAATCTGAGAAAAAGTGAAGGATCTTTAGAAGAAAGACTTCTCTTCCTTCTCTGCCTGCATTTATGGCAAAAAATGTTTCTGAATTTCCATTGCACTAGTTAGGGGTCTCCATTATCAATTCTCAGGTCTGAGAATTACAGCACAGTAAATCTTTCAGCACATGCAAACTCATTAAAGCCTGGAAGGTAAAAGGTTTTGTGTTTTTTGGGTGTGTTTTTTTCAGGAACATCCTCATCAAAGCTGCTGAACTTCCTCAATTCATGTGGGCAAAGGAGGTGGTGGAGAATGGAGGGGGTGGATTTCCAAAAGGCAAAGCCGTGAGGATTTTTTCTCAAGATAAGTGAGAGATAGCTGATTGTTCAGTAAGCATGTGTTGAATGCTTTCAATGCGCACACAAGAAAGAAAGGAAGCAAGGGGGGGAAAACAAGAAATTGAAAACTTTGGTAAGAGTTAAGGAAATGAACATGAAGGCTTGTGTGAAAGAAAATGGATTATTTGTGGGCCGTGGTTTTAGCTGTTTCCCCTTGCTGTTCCTGTAGTCATACTCTCCAGCTAAAAATGAAAAACCCTCTCCTCACACTCACTCGACTTCCAAATTAAAAACATTTTACAGGTTAGTAAATCTCCAGCTGAGGTGATGTAGCAAAGAACAGCTGTGAAGTAATTTTGATAATGATGAGAATAATAAGCACATGGCAAGGTTCAGGGCTTTGCTGTTGCAGCTTCAGTGCTCCTGAATAGATAAAAGTGATTAAATACTCCTGATTATCCCTGACCAATATGTAATGGATTTACAGCCCTTTCAATTAGTCAGTATTTGCTTAGGACTCATTATTTTGTCTTTGGTTAAGTAATCAGCCCAGAGACTCATGTTCTGTCTAATTCCTCTGAGCCAAGTGGGTACAGGGCACCTGACCTTTGAAATGGCCATAGCTGGAAGGCAAGAATAACCACTACTCCAGCAGAGACACTGGCTATTCTAGCTAATCCTGACCCCACAGGCCAGATCAATGCACCTTAGTTTGCTACTAATGTCCTTACATCAAAATGATGGTTTAGAAATGTGGATCTACTTACTGCTCCCCTGCCTCCCCTTAGCTGTTCTACGAGCCACTGCTATAAATAAAAGGGTTACCTTGTCCAGGAATCACGACACTGTAACATCAGCAACTATGGACATGTGTAACTTTGGTAATCAGAAAGAAGCCCTTATGTGAGGTAGTTAGCCGTGCTATTATCTTTTTAATCATTAGCCCAAACGGAATGAGGAGGGAACAATTTCATAGGAAGAGGTGAAAAAAAAATCTATCATCAATGATATTTTTACCATTTTCTAACATTTCCATCTGACTAGTAAACTATAGGAGAGTTACCAGTTCTTTAAAAATGTATTTTGATACTTAAGTAAAGCTGTCATAGTCAACAGAACACCAACACACAAAACCAGTTGCAAACAGGAGGACAAAGATAGATTGTTACTAAAAGTGATGCTTTTTCAGATATTTAATCTCTTTCCCCCAGAAGAGAATAGGGCTAGCTTTTAAGATAATGGACTTGAAGAACAGCTTTAAAAGAAAAAAAAGTGTTTTAATCTCTTTTATAGAACTGAGGAATTAGAGAGCCTATAAGCTTTCTATATTTCTCATGTAAACTAACACATGACAAGTTTGCAAGCTGTTTTATGACTTCTCCAGCATCCTGCAATGTACGTTGGAATAGCTACACTGGGGAATATTACTTGCCTTCCGAAACATATAAGGGTTGTTGTAAACAAAAGCCATAAATAACCCAATCCAGAGGATGGAGTGATTCAACACCTTGATTAATTGTCACTATATCTATCTATCTACAGACACACACTATATTCCAAATGAAGAAACCCCTTTTCATCTTAAGAACATTTTGAACAGTTCTCACTATTGGAACGCAAAGCAAAAATGACTACCTTCTACTGTAATACTGTTTCATGCTAAGATCTTATGATGTATATTCAACTTGTCATGATTCCAAGACTGAAATAAATAAATACAGAAAAAAGCTTCTGAAAAAAAATAAAAGTGATCACTGATCCCTACTATCATTCAGGAAATGATGGAGACAATTGATTTCTAATAATAACGAACAAACCTCATCAGGCATATGAACAAAAATTTATTTTTTATGTTTTTATTAGTTTGGTCTCCACTTACTGTGAGATGCTGGAAAAGCCACGCTCGCATGATATTTGTTGCTACTTTGGGGAAAATGCCTCTTTTCTTCTGACGCTTTTTGTCCTTGTCTGGATCATCATCGTCACCTGTACCAGGTGAGGCTACGCTGTTGTCTAAACCATCCCCTATTAGAAAGAACAAAAGAAGGGGAAGGAAACATAATAAACCAAAAATATATAAACTAAAAGGTATCCTTAATTATTAGGAAACTAATGCAGCTTTATTTTTATTTGATAGAACATCAGGCACATGCATTTTCTCATTAAATATGGTTGGTGATACAAATATGTAAAAATTAGAAACCATGTCTCTCCAAATACTAATTTTGTGTCTCACACATGCACATATCATTAATTCAATTATAATTGTGTGCTTGACACAGTGCAATAGCTCTTTGTCAATTACAGGATTCAGTGTGGGAAAACCTGCCACAAGAAAACCCATTCACTGTAAATGCATGCTTACAACCCTACTGAATGCATACTGTATGTATTCAAGTTAGATGTTCTGTAGTCTATATATTCTAAGCCCTCTGCATAGGTGACAGTAACTGTGTCACTGTTCAGTGCACAAAGCACACTGTCTGATCAGCCCCTCCCCATAGCTATCACCTCCACACACACACACGCACACACACACACACACACACACACACACACACACACACACACACACACACCGCATATGATCCTGCACATAGCATTTGCATGACATGAAAACTTCTACATCTCTGCATCAGTGATCATTATCATTAAAAAAAAATGCACATCAAGGTAGGGTGCTCACTTAATCAGAACTTTCCATCAACATCTTTCTCTTCTGTGCTTTTCCCTGGCATTAATTGTGCATTAGCAAAAATCATTTACTTTTAACAGTCATAGTTATTTTTTCTTGCCCTCCAGCAAAAATGCCTTGAAAGCCTGCCTGGAGGGCATCTAAATTATGTATCTGAAAAACTCTTCTGGCAAGGCATTGCAGGACCCCTACTTTCTTAAAATTCATACGAGCACGTCTTCCTGTTTTTGGGAAGGCATCAATCAAGAGCAGCAATATATGCCATATTCCTACATTAATATTTGAACTAATAACTTTTAAAAAAGGAAAGAAACAAGATCCGACTTGTGGCATAATCAAATGCAAAATAAATGAAGAATACTGGGACAGCACTGAGACTTTATAGATTGCTATGTTTTCCTTACACATCATTAGCCTGGAGCCACACGAAAGAGGAAAACAGAGAAGTGGAGAGTTTATGCTCCCTGCTGGTGTTTAAGAAGCCGAGGTCCTGGAAGGACATCTGGGAATTGCGCTGAGACGGTGGTTTTTGTAATTTAAGAATAGACATTCATTAGCAGTAAATGCCATAAATCCCATGCTAAGTAAAAACCTTGTCCAAGAAAGCCTAAAACAATAAACTCTGTGCTCAATGTAGCCTGAGCTAGACGCTCTATAGCTTCCTGAGGAATGCTACAGATCCACGAGCTAATTCCTATAGCCTCTTCTAGCTCTTTAGTGCTACTAAAACAAATACGTTACGGCTACATATAGACCATTTACTGCGAAACTTTTATTTCAGCTTCATCTACTTCCTCTGTGCCCACTCACCCTTCTCCCACTGCCTTCTCTTGTGGAAAAGAAAAGAAAAGAAAAAAAGAAAAGAAAAAGCCAATCCTCCTGGATCAGAGAAATGGAAAAGCCACAGCAAAGAGCTGGCAGATTAATTTTATTGACATTTCCATTTTCACTGCAATGTGATACCCTCCATCACATGGAAGAGATGACCCTCACTATTTACAGACTGACAGGCCACTTCATTACAATCACCCTGCCCCAAGGCAGAGCAGTTCCCTTCCATCTGCCCAAACACCAGAGCAAGACCCCGAAATTGCTGCTCTCTTTTTCTTTGGCTTCTGTTAATGATAAACAAAGGTGAGTCAAATGGGCGCAAAAATAATCAAAAGAAATGATGCCCGGCCCTATGCAGTGTCACAAACCAATTACTTTTGAGAAATGTTGGCTATTCAGAATCAACTCCCTTCTTTTCAGCTCGTCCCCATGTTCTCCACTCCTACCCGTCCCCCTCGTGTGCGTGTATTCACGCGCGCGCACACACACACACACACACACACACACACCCTTTCCACTATGCCAAGGAACTGCTGCAAGGCAAATTCTCACAAACACTAATGGCTTCTGACTGCTCCTTGGCAACCCCAGCATTTTAACCTGGGTGGATGTGCTCTCCAAAATACAGACACTGGAGCTATCTCATCAGCTGTTCATGTGACACAGATGGAGAGTGGCTATTAGGAGCTAGGCAATGGGCCTTGGGGATCTGAGGTGCTGTACTGTAGCCTCAGGCAGTTTTGAAAAGCAGTACCCGGAGATGCGGGTGGGGAGGAGGCGGTTAGAAACAGCCACACTGAAAGTGCAAGTTTGAAGTCAGTCAGTCTGTTTGTCTATCTATTGTCTGGATAAAGATATCTTTGTCTCCCTATGTAAAATCTAGGCATATAGGCATGTAGATTTAAAATCTTTTCCCCTCCAGTCTCTGTCCCTTTATTGGTACAAAGACGTACACACACTGTAAATACACATATATAAACTATCCCTATTTCTCTGTAGGGGTGTGTGTGTGTGTGTATGTTTAAGAAGCTGAAATAACTAGTAGTCTTAAAGGATCATTTACACCTTTTGGAGAGATTGTGAATATCCTTGCTTTAAAAGGCAAATAATAGTGCCGGAGATGAAAGTTCGGCAAAGCTTGCAGTGCCTATTCAATGGTACAAGAGATGAGAGACAATGTTTCCTTAATCTCTCCCCTCACCCCATGAAAGGAAATTTAAGCCAAGCACCTCTAAATAACATCAGTAGATGAAAACTCATCGTAAGAGCTGTGTTCCTAGATCAATGAGTTACGGAGTGGGGAAAAATCCCACAGACAAACTAACTGCCACTGAGCAACATGTGCAAACTAAGGACTCAGTCCTACAAATCCTTAATGCTCTGTCTTCAGTGGGGCTACTCACATGAGTAAACATGACTGAAAGGGCTACTGCATTCACAATGGACATTTTACTTCTTCAATATTGATCCTGGTTTTATTTGCACTAGGGTAAATGAGGAATAACTCCGGTGAATGCAAAGGCGTAGCATCATCACTAGTGAGTTCAGAAACAGATTTCAGATCCTTTAATCCTATTTCATAACAGATTAATTGTATGTGAAATATTGTCATATGAAAAAGAATAATATTTTAATTATTTGAGGGTCCAATTTCACCGTCCTTATTACACGATTGGTCCTTCTGATTTGACCAAATACTAAGGTGCTAGACAATGCATAAGAATGGCAGACTCAAACCTCAAATATTATAAAATTGCTACAATACATACCACCTCAGTGGAGTAACTTTGGATTCACACGGCTGAAACTGAAGATATTTTGACCCACTGTCTATCTTTTTATCCCACTGCAGAAAAATGGTGGAGCCAATAGTCCACTACCTTGCACAGTGGGTAGTCATTTACCCCTTTGTAGAGAGTGTGACACCTGGGCAAAAATCCTGCCACTGCTTTGTCCGGGCGTAAATGACTATACAGGGTACAAGTCAGTGGAGAAAGAGACACAATGCCTTACTTGCTTACATTATAGATTCTAAGCACTATATTGTAAGGATACAGCCTTTTTTTCTGTAGCCATATTGGAAGGCCGGTAGCCATATTGAAAGACTAAAACCAAAAGCCTTCATCAGCAGCCAGACTGAAAGAGCAGCAGCCATTAGCTGTAAAGCAAGGAGTCACATACCAACATTCCATATAAACTGCATTAAAATAGTGTAATCCCCAGGCTGTTAAAAGAGACTCTGTCCTAATGGCACCCACTATCACAAGATAAAGAAATAGATCTCAAGATGGTTAAAGAAAATGACAGCATTACGTCTGGCAAGAAACTACTTATTACTAGTTGGAGTTGTGAAATCCTCATTCTGTGATTATGGTCCTCACTTTCCTATTGTTTATTTGTATGATCTCTGATTTTTAATTCTTTCTGTCTGCTGCATAATTAATTTTCCTATATGTAAATCAATGTAGGTGTGTGTGTGGGGGGGTATGATTGGTTATATAATTTGGTCAACGATGTTATAATTGGTTAATAAAATTTTAGTAAAATAATTGGTTAAGGTATATCTAACCAGGACTCAAGAAATAATTGGTTAAGGTATATCTAACCAAGACTCAAGGTTTCACTATATAAACTGGGATCCAAGAAGGAGACCAGCAGAAAAGGAAGAAAAGAAAGGAAGGAACAGAAAGAATAATAAGGAAAGACCTGGAAAAACTCCCTTCCAAGACACAGCCTAATATCAGAACTGCCAAGAATCCTCTGCTTGACCATGATGTGCAGCAACCAAAATCCAGACAAGACTGACCTTGGTTGGCCAACAGGGGAAGTTTACTTGCCTTGATCAGGATTGGTGAGCATGGCAGTGTATGCTTAGCACGTGTATTCTCCTTGCTTGGTAATTGTTAATAAATGGAGAGTAAAGATATTACCATAAAAAGTCCTGCAAACCTGCAGGAAGTTACACTATGAGGCCTAGGAATTAGGTGAGGGTGGGTATTTAAATTAACAGGGTTACACCTTGAGCCCTAAGAATTGGGTAAAGGTGCGATAACAGTATAGCATGCTCAGTAGCACCCATTGTAAGGGGGCAGAGCACACGGTATGCAAGTCAGTCAAATATTGACCTTAACAGTTTTTTGTTGTTATGGGATAAAGAGACAGACAGTGGGATAAAACCTGGCCTCAGTTTCTCCAGTGTAAATCCAGGATTGCCTCACTGAGCTAGTATGCATGAGTCCTAACAAATACTCCCCTCAAATGGAAGAGTTTGTGGAAATGGCAAGGATCCTGGCGGAAGCTACGGATGTAGCTCCCAAAGCTCACAGACCTCAGGGATCACTAGGGATTAGCAGTTCCAATTCTGCAGAGGAGCTGCCCGATCATGCTGCAGCCCATCAACCTTTCTCTGGCAATATGGCTCCATACTGTCAACATTCCCCCCATTCCCCAATTAGTCCTATGGTGTTCTTCTCTCCACAGGAAAGAAAAAGGCAGTGCT